AAGAGGTTCCACCAGTGGACCCGGAAAGCAGGCCACACCTACAGAAGAGCTTCCAAATTTTTTTGAAACCCACCACTGGAACGGAGGGAAGGAGGGAGGGAGAGGGAGGGAAGGAAGAAAGGAGAAGGAGGGAAGTAAAGAAGGGAGGGAGGGAGGAAAAGAAGGAAGGAAGAGGGAGGGAAGGAGGGAGAGAGGAAAAAGAAGAAAGGATAATGGTGAAAGGAGGGAGGGAGGAAGGAAGGAAATATGGATAAGATGGAGCTATTAAATTAAGCTTTGAATAGTGGTTTAAGGAAGGGAATTTGACCTGCTGTGTGCAACTTTCTCTTCTTCATATGCAGGCAGAAGTCAGCCTACTGTGCATGGGTTTTTCACTTTATTTTTATATATATATATATACAGACACACATGTGCTCTGTATCTCTCTGTGTGTGTTTGTTATTTCTTCTAACCATGAGAATCTCTTCAGGAAATTTGCTTAGCATTTATAGAAATTAGACGCCTCTCTGGAGTATTTTTCATTTCCTCTCGGCTATTTATTTATGTAGTTTCCAACAGAACTCTTGCTGGGTCATTGAATAGGAAACAGGCAGGGCCAGCTGTTCAACCAGCACTTACAGCCCAGCAGGGCCCAGCCCCATCAAGGGCAGAAGCTGTTCCTTCTGATTGACCAGAAACTCCTTAAATAAGTTTTAAAAACCCTTCCTCACGTCTCGGCAAGTGGCGTTTCCTATCAAAGTCAAAGGAAAGGTGTCGGATGCTTATGTGCCTAGGCAGATTCTTATGGAAAGACGGAATGCGTTTCTTCCCATGGAAACAGGCGATAGAAATCCTCCATTTGTAAAGAATAAATCCTATTCTTTCTCCTTTAAAGGGAGGTTGAGGAACTGGAAGGGAAAGTCTGCCTCCCAGAGTCTTATCCTACACGAATGTTTGGTATTCATGAATTCCCAAAGTCCCCACCCTGGGCCAAGAAGAGAAGCCACCTTGGCTTCAAAAATTATGCTTTACACAACAATCACAAGGCATCACACAGGAGGTGCCATGTTCTCAGAACAACTTCTGGCCAGGCTGACTCAGAAGGACGCCCGGTTCAAATCAGCAGTGTGAAGAAGAGGGAGGGAGGGAGGGAGGGAGGGAGGGAAAGAAGAAGGGAGAATGAGGAAAGGAGGGGAGGAGGGAGGGAGGAAGGAGAGTGGGAGGAAGGGAGGAAAAGGAAAGAAGAAAGAAGAAAGAAGGGAAAGAAAGAAGAGAGGGAAGGAGAGAGGAAGGAAGGAAAGGAAGATGGAAGGGAGAGGGAGGGAAGGAAGGGAGGAAAAGGAAGAAAGAAGGAAAGAAAGAAAGGAGAGAGGGAGGGAGGGATCTTGGCTCCAATCAATCTCGGCTCAATATGTTTTGCATTAATTAGAGTTTCCCAACACTTTCTGGCTTTTAGTGGTGTGCCCGAGACGACAGTGGCCTTGTGACGCACTGCAGGCATGTTTTTGAAGGGTCGAGAGGCCTTCGTTCCTACGTCACAGCCGCCACCTTGACTCAATCAAGAGTCCTTCCTGACCCAGGAGAAACTGCCATTCCGCCGTGACTTTTCATAAGGGTTTGGATCTCTACTGAAAGGAGCTGAAAAAAACCTTGGCAGCTTTCGCAAAGTTTCAGCTTTGCCTAGAAGGATCCTGAAGGAAATCCAAGTGCCGCCAGCATCCATGGGGTTGTGTGGGAGAGTTTGATCCTTCAGAAAAAGTAGATGGGAAACGAAAGGCCTCAAAGGAAGGTTAATTCCTGTGATGGGAAACTACTCCACTTCCCTTTCACAGCTTCCTGCCAGCCGCATCTTCTTATATCCTTCTGGAAACCAAAGTTCTGTGAACACGATATTCTGATATGTCTACGAATTAAAAAGAAGCGTGACAGGTAGTCCTTGAATTACGGCGGTCACTTAGCAACCATTCAAAGGTGCGACAGGCTCCCCTTCCCCTCCCCAAAGGTACTTACGACTCGGTTCTAAAGTTCCCAGAGCTCCTCGTGGTCACCTGACTGAATTTTGGGGCGCTTAGCAACCAACCCACATTTACAGCGATTTGCAACATGGCGACCGTATAGTTTTACTGCGGTTTTTATGCCGGAAAGCAGGCATCGGCTTCTGGTTCCCAGCAAAAATGCCCCATAACGAAGGGTTTGCTCAATGACTACAGTATTTGCTCAAAGAAAGGTTGAAAAAAAATCAGGTTGGTTACGTAAGAAACTGCTTTACAACCATTCGTACAACCTATGATTGTAATTGGCGGACTCCATTAAAGTTGTGAGTCGAGGACTATCTGTAAAGTGTAATAAATCCACCCTGTATCCATGCCGTCCCATGAGCAGATTAATTCTGGGCCTGTAGAGGAAGGAGTGATAGAACTTGGGGGCGGCGTTAAAAGAGGCACCAGCCTAGAATCCTTACGTAGCCGCAAGGAAGCTAAATCCAACCTCCCTTGAATTCTGTTAACCCTTAGCTAACCCCTAGTAGTAGGTGCTAACCCTTAGTTGAGGAGAATCCTGTGCATAGGCCTTTTAGCAATAACTTTAACTGGGTCTTTTGCATTTGACAGGTTTTTTAAACTTAGAATAACTTTATTGTCATATACACTAATTGGCATCCATCAAAATGAAATCGTGCTCCCTACAGCGCTCAAAGGGTCACCACTTCCAATATACACAACATGATCACGACAAAACCAATCAATCAATACAAAATTATGCATATATCCACATATATTATATGACATGGAGAAATAGGGTAGCCCAGTCAGAAGCTGCTAGCCAAAACCTTGAAAATTTCTGGATAGGATAAGATAGGATTAGAGTAGAGTAGGATAGGGTAGGATAGGATAGGATAACAGAGTTGGAAGGGACCTCGGAGGTCTTCTAGTCCAACCCCCTGCCTAGGCAGGAAACCCTACTCCATTTCAGACAAATTGTTGTTCAACATCTTCTTTAAAACTTGCAGTGTTGGAGCAGCCACAACTTCTGGTGGCAAGCAGTTCCACAGATTCATTGCTCTGTCAGGAATTTTCTCCTTAGTTCTTGGTTGCTTCTCTCTCCTTGATTAGTTGAAGCTGGCCCAGTTGACATGAAGAAACCAAGACTGGTTTTCAACTGGGAAGCGTCTCCCACTACTTCCATATAACGAATTCACTTGCTACAACTCACTCTTGTTTACTCCTGATGAGGACAATCCTTTGGGCTGTTTCTCCTCGCGAAAAATACATTTCAAACTATCACTCTGGAGAAGCGAACTGGCGGCTGTTGTGCTCTCTTGCCACTAAGCATCACTGTCATCCCCCCCCCCTCCTGTGTTGCTCTGCAGGTCAGCCCCTCACCGTTGTTTGCAAAGCCTTTTTCGGCTTCAGTGGTGAGTCTGGCCCCATGATCTACTGGACGAGAGGGGAGAAATTCATCGAAGAACTGGAAAACCATGTGAAAGAAGGCGAAATCAGGTACAGAGTGATGTTGCTGGCATCCCCCCCCCTCCCCACCTCGTAATTTAGAAAACTGAGGGCGGGGAGAGAAAAATCTGTTTCATTTCCAAAAGTTAAAGTTAACAGCCCGTTTAATCTGAATTGCAAATTATTTCCGTGTTTGGAAGCTGATTTGCTGGGAGTCTGCTTTGAACAGTTAATCCTGGTGACTTTTGCAAAACAAAAAACAAAGCCGTACAGAGGCAGAACCTATTTGTATTCCCCAATTATATTCATTTAACTAACGGAGGAAAATATTTCCTGGTACTTGCTCTCCAAAGAAGAAAGTTCAGTTTTTAAAACAATCTTTGTTGGTCTCTATATTTTCGATGCAATCTTTTTATTTTAGAGTTTAATTATTTTGGGAGAAATCTAGCTTTCTACGATTGGCTAGATTAACAGATTAATCAACAGAGTTGGAAGGGACCTTGGAGGTCATCTAGCCCTACCTCCTGCCCAAGCAGCAGAGCCTGGAGCGTCACCTTGTGGAAGGTTGTTAGAATCAAATCCCCAGAGAACTGAGTCTTCCTGAAGTTCTGACCCAGCTCCCCAAACACCACAGACCCTCTGAGGTGAACCCAAAGAAAGGATCGCCGGCAGCCCCGGCAAAAGAAATTCTCCAGCAGGCTCACAAGTCCATCCGGCAGGGAGACGAATGGTTCTCTGCCACACCTATTCACCTGCTCCCGCTGCCTTTGATCCCCAGAGCTCGGGTGGGGCTTTGCTAGTGGCAGTGGCTCTTCCGTCTGAATGACCGGCCCATAGATTTCCACTGCTCTCCTCTCCTCTGCCTTCTGCGCATCTGTGCATCAGGCTGTTCCTCCTCTTCCTCATCAGCCACCTCCAGACCTGGGGGCGGTTGAGTGCTGACGGACGGCCCAGGCTCTGCCTCTGTCTCTCTCTCTCTCTCTCTCTCTCCCAGCTCCATTCCAGAGGTGGGTTCCTACTGATTCAGTCCGGTTCAGCCAAGTAGGTAGTAACTCAGCCTGCCACGCCCTGGAACCAGTTCTATTGGCCATGGCGCCATCTTGATTTTTGGTTCTGTGCAAAAACTTTTGAGCAGCAAAC